CCGACTAGCGCAGCTGAGAAGGAGATAACCGGGTTGAGATGGCCTCCGGACACTGGAACAACCGCAAGTAGTAGAACTATGAGCACAATTGCTAAGAGAATTGACATGATCAAATTTGGCATTTCAGCGTCACTTTCGGAAGTAGAGATCACTATAGTATCCACCATGAAAACAAGTACCGCTGAGCCTAGGAGTTCTCCCATCGACGCTCGCCATACCTATATTAAAAAAAGTTTCAATTTTTTTGGCACCGACAATTATGGTCAATTAAGTAGTGTTTGAAATCAAAATATATTTACTAACGTCCAAAGAAAAAAAGTCAGGAACGCCAAGCCTTTGAGAGAGTGAGAGAAAGTTTTGCTTCTTTCCCTCGTCATCAATAGTGTTCCTAGTAACATGAGTGAGGTAATAAATGTTAGTTCAGCGAGCATCCGATAAATCAATCTGACAAAATTAAAGAAATTAATTCCACACATACTTTTTTGGTGTGGAAGAGTAAGGTTGAACTCTATTAGTATTACCAGCAGAAAGCTGGCTTTCTTCATCACCTAAAAAAATATTATTGTTGGAACCCATTTTTTAGGAGAAGACTAAGATAGTTGCTAAGTATTTATTAATGCATTTTCCCTGAAATATTGTGCATGGATATGGGGTTATAAATATTACTTCCCAACTACCACTGCCTAACCTATCTTTTGTTGTTGCTAAAATACAAGAAAAGAAAGAAAGTTACGTCTACGTATATATAGGGATCTCTTAGCCAATTTTTATTCATTTTGTTGAATATGCACTCAAAATTGTCATACAGTTAAAATAGGTTATTACTGCGTTGTTGAGAATTGAAGATTAAGACGCCTTTTCCCATTTTACATCAATTAACAATTAATTAGTCAATTAGCCGAATAACTTGAATATGTAAATGAAAACTGATAATTTAGTTTCTTCATTAACTAATAGTATTAATTTTTTTCTATAAAAAATGACAGAAATCTCACCTTTTAAGTTCTTTTTTTACCATTATTCCCTATTAGTTTTACAAATCCCCAAAATTTCTCATTTTCACGCATCAAATTAATGTATCAGAGCATCAAATTAATGTATCTCGCGCATCAAATTAGTGTATCATGTATAAAATATATATCAGATTAGTGTATCATGTATAAAATGTAATGTATCTTACTTAATCATTAATGTATCATCGCTTATATTATTGTATCAGTTTGAGGAATTTCTGTGATTATAACTTATAAATAACAAATGATAATAAGTATTTGATTTCTGTTCTTTGCCCTATGGCAGAAAGAGAAAGAGAAAATTTATTGAAACGTAATTTGATAAAATTAAATTTTCATAAATTACATCGAGTGGATACTGGCTAGGCCCATTATTGAGTCCGGGCTATAAAGCTAATACAACACCATAGGCCCATTATTGCATTTGGGCCTTTATACATTCGATCCAACCAAAGCCTTAACAACTCCAACAAAATCATGCTTGTATCCATATTCTGCATTGAAATGCTTTGTTGGAATGATTTTTGTGTATACATAGAAGGCTACACAACCAATAATAGGCCCAACCCAAAAGATCCAATGTCCATCCCAAAGGTGACCTCCTCTAACGATAGCGGGCCCGAAACACCTAGCTGGGTTCATCCCTGCCCCAGCGTAGCCCTTTTTGGCGGTGACCGTGGTCGAGATAAACACTAGAAGACCTAACACTACACCAACAATCGACAAGACAGTTACATGGCCAAGAGCCTTAGCTTGTCTATGATCATAAGCCATCCAAATTGAAGCAAAGAGAAAAACAAATGTACAAAATATCTCTAGCCATAATGCTTGGGCCGTCTCTAGGCCCACACTAATGGGCCCATTTGGGCCTGGTGCAATTATTGTGATAGTGCATCCACCAAGTGAGAAAGTGTCTTCAATTGATGAACTAACAACTGCTTTGAGAGCTAGTGCACCTAAAATTGCACCAAGACATTGTGCCATTATGTAAATGATGGCTCTTGACATGGATATAATTCCGACGAGCGCGGCTGAGAAGGAAATAACAGGATTGATGTGGCCTCCAGACACTGGAACAACCGCCAAGAGTAGGATTGTGATTATGACTGCTGCGAGAATTGACAAAATCAAATTTGGCATTTTAATGTCACTTTCTAAGGTAGAGATTACTATTGTATCCAACATGAAAACAAGAACCGCTGTGCCTAAGAGTTCTCCAATTGACGCTCTCCATACCTATATAAGAAAAAAGAAATGTTTAATTTATATGTAATGAAGAAGATCGATTTATTTATTCTAAAGGCAATTAGTGATGAAATCAAAATGTAATACTAACATCCAAAGAAAAGAAGTCAGAAACGCCCAGCCTTTCAGAGAACGAGAGAAAATTTAACTTCTTTCCCTCATCATCAATAGTACTCCTGCTAAATACATAATTAATTAAGACAAAATAAAGGAAAAATGATATAAGAAGAAATTAATTTGACGCACCTTTTTGGTGTAGAAGAGCAAGGTTGAACTTTATTAGTTCCACAAGAAAACTGATTTTCTTCATCACCAAAAACAGCGTTATTATTGGAACCCATATTTTGGGAGAAAAACAAAGTTAGTTGCAAGTATTTAGCTTAAGCTTTTTAATTATTTTCCTTGAAATTCTGTGCATGGATATGGGGTTATAAATACTACACTCTCCAACCTCCAATGTATTATAATATAAGAAAATTATGTCTACGTGTATATAGCAACAAAGAAGATCTCTTGGTCAATTTTATCAGAGGCTTCATTTTATTATTAATTAATTTTGTTAATTTGTTCTAAAATATGGTATTTCTACTAGTACATGTAGGAGTGTGGTAGATCCTAATTAAATAGTAGGCCTTTTATGATTCACTAAATAATTTTAGTAACGTATTATTATTGAAAGTTATTCGCACCACATGAAACTTATTCGAGAAGATTTTAGTTATGGTACTTCTTATAAATAGTTGGTTCAAAAATAATTATTGCGACAGAAAAAAATTTAGAGATAGAAATGATTCAGCTTTATTTATCTTTATTCAATAAATGTGGTAAAAAAGGATTTTTTTTATGGTTTTCTTTTTGTAGAGTCCAATAATAAAATGAATTTTGATTAATATGTAAGGATATTTTTTTTAATCATATTGAGATGAAAAATATTGCATTTTATAGAATTTTTTAAAAATAATTTTTAAGTATCTAAATTTTAATTTTAGAATATCGAATTAATCTAATATAATTTGATTTAAAAAAATTTCTGACTCTCAAAAAGCGAAATGTGAGAAATGTTTTTGAAGAATGGAGTATTAAATTAAAATGAAATAGTAAATAAGGATAATTTAATTAAATTACACTATAAATTAATACTCCCTCTGTTCTATATTAACTGAATTTGTGAGGTAATGCATACTCATTAAGAATAACATGCAAAATCATAATTTAAATCATTTTTTTCGTTATTATCGTTTGTAAAATCATAGATATAGCTTCTTAAATTGTGCAATTTATCTCCTTAAAATATAAATTCTCATTAAATAAAAGAGTAAATATGAAAAATATTTCAAATTCACCTTAAACTTTAAACAGTTTAATTTTTTAAAACAATAAAAAAATCGTTAATATAAAATAAGAAAAAGATATCAAATCTTTTCACATAAATTAAGACGGAAAAAATTTCATTTAACTCTCTTTCAAAACAGTCTATTTTTTTTTAAAAAAAAATCAAAGTATTTGGAAACTAAGTAATATGGAAAGACAATTGATGTGGGGGAGTAGAGGAATGATTTTTTAAAACAAATACACCAAATGTTAAAAAATGTAAATCAAATATTATCCAATAATAGAGAATATGGGAGATCAAATATCTTATTTTGACAGAGTGTTGTTGTTATCAATATTTCCCTATTTGTAAGTATCAACCATGAGACCTGGGATTTGCATGGCTGTCACCATGATCCATGGTTTTTAACTAATGAAAACAAAGCCATGCTAGTATTTAATTTTTTACACCTCTAAAGAAAATATTTTCTTAATTCTTCTTGATTTTTGTGTTGCATACTTTCGCATTAATTCATGCACCAAACAAATTATGATGATATAATATATCATTATATACTTCCTTCGTTCAATTTAGGTGATGACGGTTAAATAGTGGATATAAGATTTAAGAATTAAAAGAAAATATTGAACATGTCAAAAGTTATAAATATTTACTTAAAGAAAAAAGGTCTTAATATTTGTAATGTACTTTTAAAAAAGGTTATATTTATCTTTCGTAATACTTTTTTAATATATTTATTTTTATCATAATTTTAGATACATATTTATTGTTTTTAAGTGTTAAGTCTAACTATTCCACTTTTATCATTTTATGTGGTGTCTACACAAATATTATTTTATCACAACTAAAATTTACTTTCTATTTAATATTTTACTCAATCATATTATGAAAAGCTATATATATAGGATAAGAAAAGAGGTGATATGATACTTGATTATTCGAGAATAAATGTATGTTCAAAGTTGAATGACAGGGATAAATATATTAGAAAAATACAACAAAAATAACTATTAACTCTTTTGCAAGAGTATAAAGGAAAAATATAATCCTTGTTTGTCTATATATAAGAGATTAATTTGACCGTCCTTTTCCTGTTCAATATTTCCTATCAATTCACAATTAATTCATCAATTAGACAATCAAAACTTTGGATATGTAAATGACAAATGATACTTTAATATAGTTTCTTTATTAACTAATACTCCTTTTATTACTGTTTGTCATAGTTTCTATTTTTAGAGGCTTCTCCGATTGAGAAAACCCCGACAATTACTTTTATAGTAGCTGCGAGCCTAAGATCAAAATTTAACTTTGAAAGTTAGTTAAATTGAGTTTCAAAAAGCATAACATACAAATAAAAATCGACGGAGGGAGTACTAATTAATTTCTTAATCTATAATATAATAATAGAAAGAGAAACTTATTGAAACATTGATAAGTTTAAGAGTAAATTACATCAAGTTGAAGGGAAGTGGGTAGGGACAATATGATCTGATATTCTATTACTAAGGCTAGGCCCATTACACATTAGTTATTGTTGGCCCATAATAAAGAAATCCAAAACTAAATACATCAAATAGGCCCATTATTGATTATGGGCCTTTATACATTGGACCCAAACAAAGCCTTGACAACTCCAACAAAATCATGTTTGTATCCATATTCTGCATTGAAATGTTCTGCTGGAATAATCTTTGTGTATACATAGAAGGCTACACAACCAATAGTTGGTCCAACCCAAAATATCCAATGTCCATCCCAAAGGTGACCTCCTCTAACAAGTGCGGGCCCCAAACACCTCGCCGGGTTCATCCCCGCCCCACCGTAGCCTCTTTTAGCGGTGATTGTGGTTGAGATAAACACTAGAAGGCCTAACACCAAACCAACAATGGACAAGACAGTGACAAGGCCAAGAGCCTTAGCTTGTCTATGATCATAAGCCATCCAAATTGAAGCAAAGAGAAAAACAAATGTACAAAATATCTCTAGCCATAAGGCTTGGGCCATCTCTAGGCCCACAATAACGGGCCCATTTGGGCCTGATGCAATTATTGTGATAGTGCAACCACCAAGTGAGAAAGTATCTTCAATTGATGAACTAACCACTGCTCTGAGAGCTAGTGCACCTAAAATTGCACCAACACATTGTGCCATTATGTAAATTATGGCTCTTGACATGGATATAATTCCGACGAGCGCGGCCGAGAAGGAGATAATCGGATTGATATGGCCTCCTGACACCGGAACAACAGCCAGAAGTAGAATTGTGATCACAATTGCAATGAGAATTGACATGATCAAATTTGGCATTTTCGTATCACTTTCTAAAGTGGAAATCACTATAGTATCCAACATGAAAACAAGAACCGCTGAGCCTATGAGTTCTCCCATTGACGCTCGCCATACCTATATAACAAAAAAATAATAATTATGCTATGATAATAATTGATTTATTTATTCTCAAGGTAATTAGTGATAAAATCAAAATATATTACTAACATCTAAACAAAAAAAGCCAGGAACGCCCAGTATTGAAAGAAAATTTGGCTTCTTTCCATCGTCATCAATATTATTCCTGCCAATTGTGAAATTAATTAATTTAGACAAACTAAAACTTGAACTTTCTCACATTAACACTCACCTAATTTTTATTATCTCAAAAAGTCACCATATCAAAACTTTTCAACAAAAAATTTGACTTTGTGAGATAACAAATATTGGTTACCTGACCATCTAATAAAACAACAAATCAAAGAGATTATTAAATTGACAAATTTTGTTGATGTAGAAGAGCAAGGTTGAACTCTATTAGTCCCACCAAGAAGCTGGTTTTCCTCATCACCAAAAACAACTTTATTCTTGGAAGCCATGTGTGAGAAAACTAAGATAGTTCATCCTAGTATTTAACTTAAGGTTATATAATAAAGTTTTGTTTACGTGTATATATCAAGCAAAAGAAATCTATTGGCCAATTTTATTGGAGGAGTCAATTTCTTATTATTATTATTATTTTTTTTAAAAAAAATATCTGTTATGAATAATTTAAGAATAGTAAGCTCTACTTTTTCATTCTCTTTACTATTTACGAGTCATTAGAATATATAAAAGTACTAACAAGTTATACACACAATTTAAATCTTTGGGTGTTGGAGAACATGCTTCGAGTGTGATTAATTGATTTTGATACTCGATGGGATCAATATAGAATGGATTCTCTTATAAATTGTTCGACCACACAACTTATACACAACTAAAAAAAGGCCAAAAAGAGACCTAGAAAAGAGATCTCGTGAGGTCTCTTTTCGGGAAAAAGAAACCGAAAAAGAGACCTCAACGTTAGGTCAGTAAAATGCAGGTCACTTTTTTACAGACACCTCATGAGGTCGCCAAACGGAGACCTCACGAGGTCACCAACAAATTATCTGATTTTTTACAAAAAAGAGACCTCATGAGGTCACTATTGTATTATTTAATTTAATTTTATATTTTTTATATAGAAACCTCATGAGGTCACAATTTTATTATATTATTTAATTTTATATTTTAATAAATAGACCCCATTAGGTCGCTAAGATATTATTTAATTTAATTTTATATTATTTTAAAGTAGAGACCTCATGAGGTCTCTGTTCTGCATTTATTTTTGGAGATCTCGTGAGGTCTCCATAATGAAATTTACGGAAAATATAATGCAGAAAAGAGACCTCATGAGGTCTCTTTTCTGCATTTATAAAATATAAAATATTAATTAGAGACCTGGTGAGATCTCTATTATGAAGTAGCTGAAAAAATTAATACAAAAGGGAGACCTCATGAGGTCTCTTTTCAATATGCATTACATCAAGATTATGTCGAAGAAGATTGTCCTTCCAATACGGTAACTCCCAGAATATGCTTTGTTTTGTCCAGTTATGTGCAACACCATATCCATCAAATTTATAGGGTTGTTCTTTTGCGACCTTTGAAAAGTTTTGAACTCTCTCCCAAACTTGTTCTCCAGTTAAGATTGGAGGAAGATAACCTTGTTCAACAGAATTCTTTCTGAATGCATTTTTCAAACACCTAAACTCATGATCCATTGGCAAGAACTGTCGATGACAGTCAAACCAAGAATTTTTACGACCATGTTTCAAAGTGAATGATTTAGTATTTTCCATACAATAAGGACAAGCTAACTTTCCCGCTGTCATCCACCCTGACAACATTCCATATGCTGGAAAATCATTAATAGTCCACATTAAGGCAGCCCGCAAATTAAAATTCGGCTTAAGAGACACATCGAATGTTTCAACCCCTTGAACCCACAATTGTTTCAACTCATCAATCAAAGGTTGCAAGTATACATCAATCAATACTTTTGGATTCCGAGGGCCAGGAATGACACAATTGAGAAATATATATGGACTGGTCATACACATCTCGGGTGGAAGATTATATGGTGTTACAAATACAGGTCAATAAGAATATGGTGCAGCAGAAACAGAATGTGGCGTGAATCCATTTGAACATAAATCCAATCTAATGTTACGTGGTTCAGCTGCAAATTGTGGATATGTTCTTTCAAAATGCTTCCAAGCCTCTCCATCGGATGGATGACACATAACTCCAGGTGGTCTTCTATGTTCATGGTGCCATCTCATATGAGGAGCAGATCTATTAGACGCATACAACCTCTTTAACCTTGGTATAAGAGGTAAGTAATGCATTGCCTTAATAGGAACTTTCTTCCCACTAGCTGTCTGTTTATAATGACATTTTCCACAAAACTTACACGATTCTAGATCAATATCATCCTTATAGTATAACATGCAACCATTTTCACAACAATGAATTCTCATCGGTGACATTCCTAACTTTGATATCAACCTCTTTGCCTTATAGAAATTATCAGGTATCTCTAGATTTGGGTCAACTAAATCATGAATAAGGTCAATCACAGAGTCCATTGCCCCTTGAGAAACATTCCAATCTGATTTGATACTTAATAATCTAACCGCAATAGACAACTGTGAATGTGGACTCCCCTCATATAAAGGCCGACTAGCAGATTCCAATTGTTCAAAGAAAATTTTACATTCAACATTAGGAGCTTCTTCACCTTTAGCAAAATCAAAATCAGAATGCACACCAAAAGCATCTTGAACCATGTCATCAATTCTATAATTTTGTGCATTAGAATTTACATTGCTACTACTTTCACCAGGAACATAATGTTGGAATACATCAAAGTTATTATCAATTTCTCCATGACTAGTCCACACAGTGTATTCTTTTTTAAACCCATTTCGATAGATATGAAGCTCAACAACATCTGGTTTTTCATAATTCAAACATTGACATTAATTACAAGGACACTTAATCATACCACTAAGTTGAAAAGGATCTAATGTCTTTGCATACTCCACAAAACCAATGACACCTTCTACAAATTCAGGTCTTAGCCCCATTCGACCAAAATTAGTCATATTATACATCCAATTACGATCCATCTACATAAGAATCATAAATTAAATTTGTCAAGCACTAACACAATAGTTACAAATTTAACTTATTAACCAACTTAACAAATTTCTAAGTCTAATTAGTCTAGTTTTAACTAAATTCTAATACTATAGTAACAAGTTTAACTTATTAAATAGGGATAATACCCAATTACCCCCCTAGCCTATACCCAAAATCCCTGCGACACACCTTATCTTTGATGAGGTCCTATTACCCCCTCCAACTTTTTTTAAGTAATTAATTACCACTTTCGTGCCTACGTGGCAATAATAATCTGAAAGGTCGATGTGTTTGTTCAACACGCGCCGGAACCCACTTTTTCAGCTTTCGAAAAAGTAACTTTTACACTTCCCAAGTTTGAAAAGCTGGCGTTTTATGTTTTCCAAATTAATTTTACCAAAAAAAAATAAGTAACAAGGAAAGAAAGAGGGAAAGTGCTGCATGGGTGGATCAATTTCAAAGGTTAGAAATTTGATTTCCAACTGAAATTTGATTTTCGATGTTGGATTTTGATAGTTAATTTTCGATGTTGGATTTTGATAGTTAATAATGGATGGAGCTTCTTCAAAAATGAAGAACCATGAAAATGAGATTATTTTTTCAAAAATGAAGAAGAACTGCTTTTGAGAGAAACAATAAAAAAAAATTTCAAATTGCTTTGACACGTGGCTAACTTTTATTGGTCATTGTTAACCAAAATCTGCACTCACACGCCCTACATGAGTGAAATCACGATTATTGTCACGTAGGCACGAAAGTGGTAATTAATTACTTAAAGAAAAGTTGGAGGGGGTAATAGGACCTCAACAAAGATAAGGTGTGTCGCAGGGATTTTGGGTATAGGCTAGGGGGATAATTGAGTATTATCCCTATTAACTAACTTAACAAATTTCTAAGTTTAATTAGTTTAGTTTAACTTAATACTAACACGATAGTTACAAACTTAACAAATAATTATTTATAAAATTTAAAGCCAAGTGTCAACACTAGATGGACACAAAATTGATTTTCAAAAGAAAATCAATTTTGTCATCAATAGGATCAACTAGTGTTGGTACTTATGCTTAACAAATAATTATTTCTAAAATTTGAAGCTAAGTGTCAACACTAGATGGACACAAATTGATTTTCAAAAGAAAATCAATTTTGTCATCAATAGGATCAACTAGTGTTGGTACTTATGCTTAACAAATAATTATTTCTAAAATTTAAAGCTAAGTGTCAACACTAGATGGACACAAATTGATTTTAAAAAAAAAATCAATTTTGTCATCAATAGGATCAACTAGTGTTGGTACTTATGCTTAACAAATAATTATTTCTAAAATTTAAAGCTAAGTATCAATACTAGATGGACACAAATTGATTTTCAAAAGAAAATCAATTTTGTCATCAATATGATCAACTAGTGTTAGTACTTATGCTTAACAAATAATTATTTCTAAAATTTAAAGCTAAGTGTCAACACTAGAAGGACACAAAATTGATTTTCAAAAGAAAATCAATTTTGTCATCAATAGGATCAACTAGTGTTGGTTCTTAAGCTTAACAAATAATTATTTCTAAATTTAAAGCTAAGTGTCAACACTAGATGGACACAAATTGATTTCAAAGAAAATCAATTTTGTCATCAATAGGATCAACTAGTGTTGGTACTTATGCTTAAACAAATAATTTTGTGATATTTGGTTCTCATGTGTAGTATATTATGACTTATAATTATGTAGATTAATGTTAGGGATTGGGGAATTGTTGTTGATTCATGTTCACATCTCTATAATATGTATATCATTCTACATCTAACTATTATTATATGTATATGATTAGACATCTCATAATGTTTATCTAATTTAGAGTAAATGAGTCATCCCAACTCTTATTAATTGAAAAAAATAATAATTTTTACTTCACAAGTTCCCAATATTGCTTTGATGAAAAAAGAGATGTTAAAGAGTAAAAATCACATATTTTAAATTCATAGCAACATAAGTATATGTGCAAAGTGACAATATTACAATGAGATATAAATATATAATAATACAATCAAATGAACCTCAAACACCTCATCTCAATGATCTAACACATTTATTTTCAATGACCAAAAATAAATAAATTTACCTGGAGATGGAGGTGCTGCTGCTGAGGCGACTGCAACTGGCGGTGGAGAGCTGGCGATGAGCGAGAGGGTCGACAGAGAGCGATGAGCGAGAGGGTCTACAGAGAGAGAGAAAAAGAGAGAGGCGGTCAACGATGAGAAAGAGAGAGGCGGTCGACGAGGTCAGTGAGAAAGAGAGAGAGGCACGCGGTCGACCAAAAAAATTAAGAGAGAGGGAAGAAAGAGCTATTTTAATTTTCGCTAGGTTTTTGGTTTTGTTTAAGAGACCTCATGAGGTCTCGAACTTTTTAAATATTCAATTAAATTAAATTATTATTTTTAATTTAAAAAGTATAGACCTCATGAGGTCTCTACTTGTTAAATTAAAAATAATAATTTAATTTAATTGAATAGTTAAAAAATTAGAGACTGAGGTCTCCAATTTTATGAGAATCAGATTAAAAATTTAAAATTTTTAAATAAGTCAGGTAAAAAAAAATTATTCATTAAATTGACCTCACGAGATCTCTCCTACATTAAAAAAAAATTAAAAGATATTAATTTAAATAGCGACCTCATGAGGTCTTTTATTATTGACCTATTTTTGAGTC